AGCCCAGCCTCGTCACTGCATTCACCTTAGTGCAACTTAGATCTCTCCTGCAAAGTAAATGTTGACAGGCAGTTTTCATAAACCATGTCGGATTGAATGTATTTAAATGTATGTATTTAAGGAAAAACAGCAACAACAGAAAATCAACCATGCTCTTGTTCTGTTCCTGTTTAGTTTTAGACCTTGTTTTGTTTGTTTTGTTTGCTTTGTTTTCCCTGGCTACTCAGTCTGGTGCAAAGGATTCAGTTCCACCCAGCAACTGGTGTTTTAACCTGAGGCCTGCCTTTTGGGGCGCAGAGGGGGCCCGGAGGAGGCTTTGGAAGCGGTGTCTGGTGCATGCAGACCTCTAAAGAGTGTGGTTCGTTTGCAACAAGTCAGAGAAGGTGAACCTGTGTAGAAAACCATATAGACCAATTTTGAATGGGGTGAAAGTTGTAAAACAGATGAAAATTATCCCACGAGAGGGCTGTTTATAAGCGATGTTTTAGTTGGCTTTTCCCGGTAACGTTTTTAATGCAAATCATGAATCCCAGAATAGAAGCTTGTTACATTGTTATTTAATTGAATTCTTAAAAATCAGCAAATCCTGATTTTTACCTGGCTCTCCTGACCTCTCCCGACTTCTTTTCCTAGTGGAGTCAAAGGTGGGCCCTTGGGTCCCTGCGCGCCGGCGGTTGCTGCAGAGCAGAGCGCGGTGACGCTGCACGCGCTGACCGCGGCAGCGTCCAAGAGCTAAAGATGGCTACTTTAGAGCATGCTAATTTCTGGTTCCCATCCTCCTAACCAGGATGACAATGATTCACGTAATAAATACCTGTGGCAGATATCACTACAGCCTTCACCACTGCTGTGTGCGTCTAATTACTCTAAAGCAGAGGGGATGATGAGGAAGTTTTGTAAGGTACATATAAAATCCAGTTTGTATGTAAACAAGCAATAATTTAAGTTGAAAACTTAAGTGTTTTACTTGTATAATTTTTGTGAGATATACATGTTGTGAAGTTGATTCCAAATGAGGTACTTCAGTATTAAATTAGATATCTTCTTAGCCGTGCGTGTCTCCTGGGGAAGTGTTTTGTAAAGGATCACAATGCCTTGGACTAGACCTAATTTGTAGGCTTGAGAACTCTTATTTTCTAAACCTTGTGACTCAACTCATAATGTCATTTATCTAACCTAATATTATATGCAGCCACTGTAGGAACCAATTCTTGATTTTGTATGTTTATATTCTTTCGTAACGAATCTTAGAGAAACTAACTGTTACTAAGCAGGCCACTGGTAGGGTGTTTTTTTTTTTTCTTGCCCACTGTGGTTGGAGTAATCTTTTACTAAACTGACATCAGTTTCTGAGGACTTGAAATACCAAGAAATTGATGACGTTTTTGACCTCCCTTTTCTTTCCTCTTAACCCCTGATCTACCCACTTTCTAGCCTCAGCACACATTTTGGGATGTCATATAAAATGCAATGCATTTTAAATTATCTCATCAGCCATGCCTTTGGCCACCGAAGGGGGTATTTCATTGCTATTTCATTATTTGGTTTTGCTTTTCAGGTGGGAGTTAAAATAGAATAGCCTTTAGTCTCTATTAAGAGCTGAGGAAAATATGCTAAAGGTGCTTTGAGAGAGGGTTGTTTCTGTAGAAGGCTTTGATAAAAAAATCAAGGAAGTGTGCTGAGAAGGGCAAGGCCATGCTTCTGGAGAAACAACACTTTTCAACACTCACCGGTTCATTATCCAGCTCAAAAGGAAATCCTAGTCAACCGAGCCAGAGTAACCCCCACCCCGAGCTCCCGGCCGCGCTGATACGTGCGATGGCGTTCGTGCTAAACATGCGTTATTATATCCCTGAGGTAAATTCATTTATATAAGGAATGTATAAATTTGGAGGAATTAACTTCAAGCAAGACCAAGTGAAAATGGATTTTAAAATAATTCCGTTTATATTATATTCTTTTGCAGTGCTTAATCGTAACCTCTCCAGATTATTCTTTCTCACAGTGGACATAATAGTTCAAATGTGTCGCGTTTCATGGCAGTCCTGCAGACCCCTGTCCTCCGTAGAGATTTTGCCGCTTCATCATCCATTGCTATTTTGAAAGGAAAGAGATTGTACCCATCACTTCGACTCGCTTTGGGTTCATGGTGATTTTAGTTGTCTTGTAACAAACGAAAAAGAAAGGTGAGTGAAGGAATCTTCTGATCATATTGATCACTCTAGAAACAAGCGAATGAGAGGAAAAAAAAAAAGCCAAATCAATTCCCTTCATTATCAGTATTTTTCATCCTGTATACAGTAAATTTGTCGGAGAAAGTACTTGGGTTTTGTTTAACAGAACAATTAATCAGTGTTCTACTTAACATGACTAAATGTGAAAGGCGCATAATGTGAAAAATAAGCATATATACATGGTCCTATGACCTGTTTAAGTGTTCATGTAATGTGGTAAGTTTAAGAAGTGAAGTGAGCTGTTTTGCTACAATGAAATAATTTGTACTCAGTCTTTAAAATATTGTCCCACACCAGTATCCCTTTGGGCCTGTATTAATTAAAAGCAATGTTTTTGCAGTTTATACAATACATTTTTTAATCTTTGTTTAAAAATGGAATTCATATGGGCTTAACAGATGAAATGGGTGGCACAGCTCCACTTGCAGAACCCAAAGATACACAATCAGTTTTGAAATGCAACTTAAGCCATTAATTGTTGGTGTGAATTTAAAAGTTTTCTAGTATTTGTATGGTAGTATGCTGCCTAAGAGCAAAAGCATTCTCTGCACAAAAGAAAATTTACTGTAGTGGCTTTGATTTTAATTAGAATTTTCTCCCTGGTGTTTCTTTGTAGACTAAAACAAACTCTTTTAAGTTTCTTACTACAGGTAAAAGCTATGTGCAAGAACCTCAAAATGCTAAAATCTAGCATAATGCCTTAGATCTGTTTTTAAGTCTTGTATATTCCTACATAGCTGTCTGATGTATTATATTTGTATAGTGAATTGTGTACAATTTTGGAATAAGTGCATCATCACTTAATCTTTATGTTGTTCAATAGGGATGATGGACACATTTCTTCAAGCATTTACTGTCGTTTAATTTTTCCTTATGTCATTTGTGGGTTTTATTTGTACAGTTCATCATGAAGTTGCATCTGAGATGTGTGTATATGAAAAGATTATACAAGGGTAAAATTAAGCAATATATAAACTATGGTTCTTCAGGAGAAAGCTTACAGTGTTTCAGGTTGTGATTTATTTTCAAAACGGAGTTGACTCTGAACATCACTTTGTTCACCTGCATTGATGTTTGTATTTCTAGTGTGAGCAGTTTATGCAAAGGTAGATATATTCAGAGAAATTTTAAATACATTTATGCAAGTTAATATTGCTTTGCTGATGCTATTTGCTTATTTGATGTTAAATAATGCTATTGTAAATAAAGAATTCTGTTGTTATTGCATCATTTAATAAATTTTAATGCCTTCGGGTTTTACATGGCTTTAGAGATTTGAACGTGTTTCTGTCGTGTCTTCATTTATTCCCATATAAAGGTTGGGTAGTGGAAAAGAGGTGAACCTTCAGTTTTTAAAAAGACATCAGGCTTTTCCTTTTGAGAAACGGAAGAATATCCAACTGCTATTCCTGAAATCCTTTTATCTTTACAGTCCCGTGCTCATTGGAAATTTTACTACCCAGCTTAATTTGGAGTCAGTTCATTCTGGGTTCGTTTTACCTAGCGCAGTCGGCACCGGGCGGGTGGGAATCCTCCTCGATGGCTTCGGGAGAGGCCAGGAGCCTCCGGCCGAGCGTGGGGAAGGGCCCACGGCTCCTTGTGCCCCATGGCGAAGCTGGCGTGGGGGAAGGAGGTGAGCGGCAATTCCAAGGCTATAAAATGGCTACAGGAATGCTGCTTTATCAAAAGGGACCACTGCTCGCTCTAGTAAATGAGGGAGGGAAGGGGGCAAAAGCTACTTAATTAAAAATAAATAATAATAATTGTTATTTTAAAGACTTAGCCCAAAATTGTCCTTTCCCTGGTCCCACTGAAACAACAAAGCCTGCATTGCAGTTCTCCTGGTTTGGCTTTGGCAGAATAATGGTGATCCTTGCATGTGGCAAAAAAAAAAATAGTAAAAATCACCAAATTAAGGGAAGTGAGGAAGGGGGATGTTGCTTCCCCAAG